TAATGTCGTAACATAAAGTCAATAACTATTATTATGATATTTTTCTTATATTATACTGACATTTGAGATAAATATAACAAATTTGATTAATTTAAAACAAAAAATAAAACGTTACACGATAACCGATACTGAAAAAATATTTTTATTTTTGATTTATTTAAAATTAGATAAAGAAGCCAAGATATAAATCAATAATTATTCTTTTTTACTAACTTAAAGTAATTCGATATTATTAATATAGAAATCAAAATGCTTATAGCGATCCTTTCATAATTTACTTTAATTTTAACGCCCTTTAAATCTTTACCCGTTTTTTTTTTTTTTTTTTCTTTATTCATTCGCGTCCTTTCCGATATAAATCGTTTGAAAAAAAAATTTTTAACGGTATCATTCAAATGACAAGACTACTATTTTCGATCATCCTCAAAGTTAAGTAAAAAATAATTTTCACATCAAGATAAAATACGTAATATTTAGGGTAAAGAATAAAATTTTGACGTGGCACGTTAAATTTACAAAAGTAAACTGAGCTTTAAAGAACATTTATAAAATTTTGCGCTTTTATTATAATTAATAAACAAACTAATAATATTTTCCCAGGGTTTAACAACCCTATTCTATAATAAAAATTCCGTATAAAATAATAAGAAACGTTTTATTCGAATCAACACAAAATTTTCCTCTTGTATTTTATTTAAATATTCAATTTTATTATTCATAATTTATTTCAGAATCTAACCGAAAAAGAAATAATAATAAAAAATTTTGAGTATTATTATTATCATTATTAAAATCGTTAAAAGTGTGTGTGTGTGTGCGCGTATGTCAATTTTTCGAATTATTATTAATATTCTTTGAGAAACAACAAGTTAAATTTTTTTCCTGAATTTGATGCACATTTTTAAAATTAAACTTTTTTTTTATTTTTTTATGTTAGACCGAGTAATATATATTTTGATTTTAAATGTAATTTACTTTTTTGAAAATGTAATTTCCGGTTGGTAATGATTATTATTATTATTATTATGATTTCGAGTAACTAAATTATACGAAGATAAACTTGGAAAAATTTTGAAATATTATGATATATAAATGTTCGCGTCGAGCATTAAATATAAATTAAGATTATTTAATATAAATGATATATTAATATAATGAAATTTTTACTGAAAAAAAAAGATGGAGCCGCTCATACTAGCTCATCTAATGTTTTGAATAATTTTGTTTTTTTTTTTTTTTAATGAATGTTTTTCAATGAAATTTAACTTTACATTTATTACAAACTACCTTTGCCCGAAATTAACCGAAAAGAAATTTTTCCTACACATAATTTCAAAACAGATGCCATATCATCACATAGAATTCATAAAAAAAAAAAATAATAATAATTATTTTTTCAACGGTTGAAAATTAAGTTTGAAAAAAGAAACCATGTTTACTATTGTAAATTGCAAATTCATTTTTCAAATGTCTTTTCTTTTACATTTAAACAACAACAACAACAACATTACATAAAATATATCAATGACTTGCGCAAAAAAAAATATATATATATATAAATAAAGAAAAGTATTATTATTATTATTCAAATATCAATATTATAAGAATCAATAGATTCATTAAACCTACTACGCCTCAACTGGTAAAAGTTAGTATTTATGTAATCTATCAACAAAAAAAAATCTTACCTCCAAAAATGCGGAGCAAAACCAGGGCACTGATCTCCAAATCGCATATTATTGCGACCATTGTTATTGTCAGGCCCTGAATTCATATCGTCGGCCTATAACAAAAAAACAAAAAAAATCAAATCACAAAAGAAATTAAAATTTATTAATATAATAATAATAATAATAATAATAACAACAACAACGCAATAACTAAAAATTGTGTTTTGATTTTTTTTTTTATGTAACTAAAAACGTATCATTTTTTCGTGTGGGTGGTCTCGTCAAGTGCACACTCTTGTATGCATAAATATAAATCCATATTTTTATCAGTTATAATAATTTAGGTGTCATAATATTAGTCACGAGCCGGTTTAAGGAAAAATCATCATCATCATCATCATCATCATCATCATCATTTGAAAGTAATTAAAAATGGGCGTCTCTTTGAATCTTTTTGAAAAATGATTGATTTTTTTTTTTTTTTAACTGGATGTTAAAAGATATTTATTAAAAAAAAATATAAAACTGAAATTTTTTGCCTACCGGAAAAGATTGTTGTTTTTGTTTTAAAATAATAATAATAATAATAATAATAATAATAAACATAATTAAAATTTAAATATTACGTAATTGTAATATTTAGTATAAGAAAGCCATTTAAAAATGACGAAAATCATCGAAATATCATCGGTTGTGAAATTTATTTATTTTTTAAATAATATTAAATTTTATTATTTATGTTGTTAACTTAAACTTTGCTTGTGCGTGTGTGCGTGTGTGTGTGTGTGTGTGTTCAAATTTGAACTTTTCTATGAAATTTCAACTTAATAAAAAAAAAAAAAAAAAGATTATATCAAAGAATTTTATTAGTACTGGAATCATCATAATCGAGCACGTATGATGAATACACGGATGCTTTACACGTGAATCATCTTCTATCAAAATATATATACACACACAAACATATTATTTTTAATAAAAATCCATCGAAAATATTAAAATCTTACAGATAAACTTGATTTTCACTTGGACGATTTGTATTTTTAATAATAATTTTTTAATCCTTAAAAGTTATGAAATAAAAAAAAAAGATTATCATGCCTTTTTAAAGTAAAAGTAAAAGGTACAAGAATTTTAAATATAAAAAAAAAAAAAAAAAAACAATTTTGTTAAAGCGAATAAATAAATTTTTTTTTTTTTTCATTTCTACACAACTATAATGGTAATGTAAAGAGAAAAAAAAATTTTTTTTTTTTTTTTCTAATGGTTTATTTAAAAGGGGAATGTATCGATATTTTAGGCTATATTTCAATAGTCTACGCACGAGAAAACGTGAAGATAATAAAGCCATGATGGCTTTGAGGTATTTTTTTCTTTGTTTTTTATATTTAAAAAAAAATAAAAAATACCTTCTAAAATAAAATATATAAAATTATTTATATATTGTCTCATATATTTAAAAATATTACTTGTGATTTGGTGGATTCAATAAATTTTTATAAATAATTTAAACAACAATTTAAAAGAGAGTTTTCCTTTTAATATAAGCAATGATTAATTTTTTCATAAAATTATTGTTTTGTGAGTTGTATATGCAACTTAACATTTTTTTTTATACATATTTATTTCAGTGGGCATTAAAAAAACTACAAAAAATTGGAAATTTTTATGAAATATTTCATTGAATACAAATTCAAAGTAAATCTTTATGGTTTTGTATTACTACAGAATTTTATATCATAAAGAAAAGTAAAACAAAATAACATTATTGTTAAATTATTTTATATAGGAAATCTATTACTTAATACTTTGAAGGGAATTCATAATATTTTTTTTGAAAATGAACAAACTTTCATGCAATTAAAATTATTCAAAAGAAAAATGATAAAAACATTACAAATGAAAATTTAACCAAAAATGATTAAAATCACAGTTATAACATCAACTGATGATTTCATGTGTTTTATTAGCTAGTATTTGATTTTACATGTTTTTATTATATGATTTTCATGTTTTATTTATTAGCTTACCAATAATTTATCCCTTAACGCACTCGTCTGAAAGTTAATCCAAAAATATAAAAAAAAGACAAACAAAAAATAAAATTATAATTAAAACCACACACTCAAAACACCCTCAATTACATACACTTAACATAAAACATATTTTTCAAACAAATAAAACTAATCTTTATTATAAAAATTAACAAACTCACACTGTAATATCACTACATAAATAAGTAAAAACTAATATTAATAATATAAATAATAAATTACAAAATCTTAATAAAAATTAACCAAAATTTATGTTTTGGGTAACAGTTGGGGGAAAAAAAAAATCCCTAAATGCCCTTGAAAGTGTGAATTTCAGTAAAAGAAAAATACATTATAAAACTGTTTAAATATATATACACATTCACTAATTATTATTATTTTTTATCCACTTTAATGTATTTAACAAGTAAGATACATAAAAACGCGAGAAATATATGAATAAGCGCGATCACTATCGTATTCAAACTTGATTCTTCTATCTCAAAATCATAACTACGTGAAAGTAACCGTTTTTTAGTAACTTGTTTTACAAAAGTCATAGAGATAAAAAATTTAAAAAAGAACGCAATAATGATGCTCGACTTTCAGGGCCCTTTTATACGTACTTAATGTTATTAATTTTTTATTGTTTTTTCTTTTTGTTCGGATTATTTTACTGCGACTTAAATAATTCACTACTACTAAATTAAAATATAATTAGTTAATTTTTAAATAGAATTTTCATGTTTTTTTTAAGTAATATTTCTTTTTATTAAAATTTTTTAAAAATAATTTTTTCATCAGTTTTTTTTTTTTTTTAATTATGCGCAATTATATTTTAATATTATTGTAATTTTGTTTATAACTTACGAAAAAATTATTTAATAAAAAGAAATATTTGGTTTGTGTCATTAAAAATTGCAATTGTTTAAATTCAATGAATAAATTAACTAATAAATATTTATTAATTTGGCCTTTCTGCGATTTAATTTAAAAAAACAAAAGTCTCAATAAATTGATTGCTTAACTAAAATTAAAATTAAAATTAAAAAAAAAATTTCGTAATAATTTTTAAAAATATTTATATTTATATATATTTATATGTGCGTACGTATTGTGAAACGAATAAAATTTCAAAGTTTTTGAATCCTAAATTAAATTTCGAAATTTTCGTCTGCTAGCAGGCGGTAATTTTATCGAGTAGCATGCTACAGCTGTTTATAATGGTGGATAAAATATAATAATTTTTTTTTTTTTTTTTTGAATAAATTGGTGGTAATTAATTAAATTTAGTAGAATGTATAATATTGATTGGATTCTTCCGAAACTTCGGAGTCCCAAGGGAAAACTATGGAATTTCGCCAGCACATTAACATTGGTAGCCGTTGGTATATTTAGTAAAATAATTGTAGGTAGGTTAGAATTTAAAATTAATAAGTTTCCGTTTCAATTTTTTATTATTCACTAAATAATAAAACGACTGAAATATAAATTTATTTTTTAAATTTAATTTATCTTTAACGTTAAATAAATAAATTTATTAAATTTTAAATTTGAGGTTATAAATAAATATTTAAGGTTTACACTATTAAAGGTTATTTAGGTTATTTTTAAACTTGATGGTTTTTTTTTTTTTTTTCAAATTTTATTTATTGGCTATAAATTAATATTAAAAATAATGTAAAGTTTATTTTATTTATATGTTTATAGTCTTATAAAAATTTTACAATAGATTTAAAAACATATTTTACTTTTTTTTACAGTTTGGCTCAGTAAACCAAAAGTCCATAATGCAGATATTTTATTTAATGCAATAGAAAATCGAAAAAAAAAAGTGCCATTATTGACTATTTCTAATCATCATTCTTGCTTTGATGATCCTGGCATTTGGGGTAAATTATTTTAATCTGTACATCCTTCTATTCCAAATCGAAAATCACTTGATGCAAATAATAAAAAAATCAATTTTAAACTTTTTTGCATTGAAATTTTAAATTGTATTTTTATTACATTTAAAATGATTGAGAAAAACTTTTTTTTTTTTTTTTTCAGGTATTTTAAAATTAAAACATTTTATTAATTCTGAAAAAATGAGATGGTCTTTAGCTGCGCAAGACATATGCTTTACAAACAAGATTCATTCGTATTTTTTTTTACTCGGAAAATGTATTCCAATAATAAGAGGAAAAGGAGTTTATCAAGAATATATGGACTATTGTTTAAAAATATTAAAAAAAGGATATTGGCTTCACATATTTCCAGAAGGAAAAGTTAACATGGAAAAAACATTTCTTAGATTTAAGTGGGGAGTCGGTAGATTAATTTACGAATTACCAGTCTTACCCGTAATAATACCTATATGGCATGTCGGAATGGATGATCTACTCCCAAATTACCCTCCTTATATTTTTAAATTAGGACACAAAGTCACAATGAATTTTGGAAAACCAATAGAGGTTAAGACACTTTTAGAAAAACTAAAAAAAAATAATTGCACAGATGAAGAAGCTAGAAAAGCAATAACAGATCATATTCAAGAAGAATTAATGAAGCTAAAAGAAGAAACCGAGGCACTTCACGAAAGGAATTTAAAAAAAGGTTCTTGACGAAACGGGAATAAAATGTTCACAATTGATGTGAACATTGAGCTTTTATATTTATTTAAAAATGTTATAAATGAATTAAGGCTATAGCTTTCTTTTTATCTATATATTTTTAGAGGTCTTTATTTCTTTTTTTTTTTTTTTTTTTTGAAAAATAATATAAAGATTAAGGCTAGTACACACTGATTATAATTTTTAATGTTGGGAAAAAAAAAAAAAAAAACATTTTCAAGGGAACATTACTCAGGAAGGTCATCATCATGCATATGTATTCGGGTAAAAAGTTAATTAACCCATTACATATCTATAATAAAAACACAAACACACACACACAATTAATTTTTCATGAATTTTTTTTTTTTTTTTTTTCTTATTTTTTGCATTACGAATGTGAAACCATTATACAGTAAATACATTAAAATTATCGAATTGCAATTCAATTGTAAATTTTTTTTTTTTTTAAATTTTTCATAGAGAAAAAAAAATTAAACAGAAAATGATGTATAGTCACTCAGGATTCAAAATCGTTTAAATATTTTTAATAAAAAATATTAAAAAAAAATTTTTTTTTTTTTTAAATAAAATAAATATAATTCAACATTTACATTTGATTATTTTGTTTGAAAATAATTTATTTTTTAATTATTAACAATTAATTTAAAAAAAAAAAAAAATGATTTATTAATTAATTTAAAATAGTATTATATAAAAATTAATAGTATTTTTTTTTTTTTTCTATTATTAATTTCACATGCTTATAAATTTCTTATGTCTTATTAAAAACAAAAAAAAAATTTTTTTTTAAATAAAATTACAACAAACTCTAATAAATTTGAAACAATCTGACAAAATTTATAATAATTTTATTATTATTTAAAAAAAAAAAAAAAACCTTTTTCAAAAAATTATTTCAGTTATTTAAAAAATAGAAAAATATTTACGTGTTAATTTTTTTTTTTTTAAAATTATATTCTTGTTAAAATAATAAGTACGTAAAACAATAATTTACTAGTCATTCGTTTTATATTATTATTATTATTATTATTATTATTGCCAATATGCGTAAAAAAAAAGGTTTTGTAAAAATAAATTAAAATTTAATTTGATTTATTAATGAAAAAAAGAAGAAAAATTAAAAAATTTTGTCTTTTAAAAATTGTTATTATTATTATTATTGTATCAAACTAACTCTTTGAAATTGATATTATTAATTATAAATAAATATTGTTATTAAAGGCCTGAGAACAAGGAAAATATTATTATTATTATTAATTATTTATTGCCAATCACATCCACTTACATAATTATATAATGCTTGCCTATGGAATTTAAATTTTTTGTAAAAATTCATAGAAATTTATTGTTTTTCAATTTCTCATCAGTTCGTTACATAAAATTTTATTAATAATCTTAATAAAAAAATTATTTTTAGTCAAAATTGCTCAATTAATCAAAATTTATTTAAATAAAATTAAAATTCTATTATTTTCAATAAGAAAATCATTTTTTTTTTTGCATGATTCTGGTTAATGAAAATTTTTTTTTATTATTTATTTTAATAAGAAGAAGGGTTAATAGATTTTTTATTTATTTTATCCGTGTTAATAAAATTTAATGTATTTATTTGAAAAAAAAAAAAAAAAAATTAAATAAATAAATTGCAATGAACTTTGTACTTTATCCAACAAAAAATAATTATAATGCTCAACCAGGATTTAAAAATACAATTTTTTGACCTTCAAGAAATAATTCAGGATAATTAAATAATAAGAAAAATTATTATTATTATTATTATTTTATTATTATTATTATTATTGTGTGTGTGCTATTGAAAATTTTTATTTAACATAAATAAAATAAAAAAAATTAATTAAATTTTATTGATTTAACAAATACGTACACAAAGTATAATTAATTTTTTTTTTTCAAATAATTCATTTATTTATTATTCCTTTAGGTATTGTATTAGAGATAAAATGTTTTGTAAAAAATAATTTGCATTGATTTTTTTTATTTTTATTAACAATGCAAACTCAAATGATTAATAATAATATTGATAATTAAATCTCAAATCCCTCTTACAAAAAAAAAAAACAATTGTATATTAATTAACTTAAATGGCGTACATATATATGACTCGCATAATAACATTACGATATTATTTTATATAACAAAAAAACATCATATTGAGATAATAATGATTTTTAATTTTAACATTAACAAAATAATCGATTTATATAAAAAAAAAATAATTAACAATACATGTAAATAGAATTATAAAAAATAAAAATAATAAACTTTGATTTTAATAATAATAATAAAATAACAAAACAAAATGTCAGCCATAGCTGGAAAAAAAAAAAAATTATTAATTTATCAGAATATTATCCAGCAGATTAATTAATAATTTGTATAAAAAACTGATTAATTCGTATTGTTTTTATGTATATATTTATATTTGTTAGGGGTAACGAAATATTCGGTAAAAATAAATGGCAGCCGTGAAAAATAGTGACAAAAAATTCCTCCATTTTTATCACAGTTTCCGTTAAATATTTAATTGAGGACTTGAGCGCTTTGATGATGTCGAAGAATCGATTTATCGAACGCGCATATGGAATCCAGCAAAGCAGATCTCTCGTTTATTGTTGAAGATGAGGAGCTTACAGGAGGAGTCGGAGATGAAATTTTTGATGCTAAAAAAATTTATGAGAAAAGTTTAACAAAAAAACAAAAAAATAATAATAATGATTTATGTAATATATAAATTAATTACCGATTTATCACAAAATTACGTAATACCTGTAGAATAATAATGGATGTGTGTGTGTGTGTGATATTTTTGAATACATTGCACATTAAAGCATTTTTCAAAAAAAAAAAGTTTTAATTAAATTAATTACCTGGCAAGGGAGGAGTAATGGCACCTACTGAAGCTGCTGTGCTATCACTTGTTAAACTATTCGACCTTGGTGATCTACCATTTCTATGAATATCATCAACTTTAAGTTCTCTCGAACCAGAATTTTTATCCCTTTTCTATAAATTATCATTAAAAAATATTTATTAATTAAATTAATTTTAATTTAAACGAAAATGAATTTTAAAATAATTTAAATAAACCGACCATTTTTTCTTTCTTGAGTGTATTTAAATTTTCATCAGATGATAATAACTCTTTCATTTTGGTAATTTTTTTCTGATTTCTAATCGCTCTTTGATCACTTTGAAGTCTTTTCTCTGTATTTTTAACGGCTATTTTTAACGATTGTTTAAGTGTACTACTTAGTCTAAAATTAATTTTTACTGTATGATTTTTCGATGATAAATTAAAAAAAGGATGTTGATGTAGTTCTTGAAGAGATGGTAACCCTGTTTTACAGCTTTCAGTTGACAAAATTGATTCCAACAAAGAACCTGAAAAAAAAATTAACAAAAAATTAATTTTTTTTTTGGCATGTAAATATAGAATGAGACTTTTTTTTTTATTTTTAATCGATAAAAATATTAACCTAATAAAGATGGACATGAAGGTGGTAAAGTATCACAGACTGATTCATTAAGTGGGTAACCGAATGCCATTTCGAATAGCACATGTCCAAATGAATAAACATCTACAGCTTCCAAAGTGTTTATTTTTTTGTGCTGAGCTATAAAATGTCTGTACAATGAAGGTAACCCGAGAACCATATTTTCAATATCCAGCAATTTGATACTGTTGTCTATTAATAAAATATTTCCTAAATGTAAATGTCCAAAAGGCATTCCTTTTTCATGAAAAAATAATAAAGTTTCCAAAATTTGTTTTCCAAATAGAGAAACCTCATTAAAATGTAAAGGCTTTGTGTGTTTTGGAGCACCATATTTTTTTAAAAAATTCAATTTTGGCTTTGATCCATATATCAAATCTTTTAATGTACCACACTGATAAAATCTTTGAACTATCAAACATCCTTTTTCACTACAATGGGCAAATTCAATCTTTTCCACATGGGGATGATTTAAATTGAGCATACTCTGAATTACATTTTGTAAATCTTTATTATCTAAATATTTATCCGGTCCGAATTCTACCCATTTTAACAATGATTCTACCTTTGGTATAAGTTTAGACTTAATAATAAAATAATGCTTTCTAATTCTCCAACCTAGATCTTGAATCGGTTTAACTAATTCATAATTCATTTCACTTCTTAAAGCCATAGAGACATGTTGAAGAGCGAGTTCTTCCAAAGATTCAGCATAATTATGTGGATCCAAAAATTTTTTTATCGGCAGGCTTAATGCAAGTATAGGATTCATTAATATTGTCTTCAAATAGGCCTGTAACTCATTTTGGCGTTGAGATATAAATGTTTTATCCATATTACCAATGAGCTTTTTAGGAGGTAATATTATGCTAATTCCAGAGCTTTGAACTATACTGTGCAGTGCTACAAAATCACTATATCTCTTATTAATAAACCAAT